AATCTATCTCCCGAGCTGACCACTGAGAAGGTGTTAGGCATGTGGTGGAACACGACGATGTCTTCACGTACAAAGTGGGATGGAACCGCTACGACCCAGCTCTGTTAGGAGGCCAACGAGCCGCACGAAGCGGAAAGTGCTGCGTGTCCTAATGACCATTTTCGATCCGCTTGGCTTGATCTCCCACTTCCTATCGTTCCTGAAGATCCTGCTCCACCAAATCTGGCGATCCGGCTTACAGGCCGGCTTTTGTGATATTTTGATCTGTTTGTTCAACTGCCCAGTTATATAATTCTCGTGGAGTTGTTCTGGTGTTTCCATAATCTCGAGCAAGACTAGCTCTCTTTGCCATTCGCTTGAGAGTGCCATCACATCACAGGGACCTTTTCCATGAGACGTTGCAAAAAAAAATGCCATTCTGCTTCTAATCCATGCTTTGACTGAAAGCTACACAGACTAGCAAAGTTTTTGTTTTTATTTTTGTATTGTGATGCTGCCCCATCTGACATAAAAGTAATTTTAGAAAAATCTTTCGATTGTTTAATAAAATCTATCATTTTTGAGATGAACAACTGAACTGCAACTGTATCGTGAGTCATTACTTCTGATATCATAATGAAGCTAACATTTTCAAGTTTATTGTCTTTCTTATAAAAAATTTCAAATGGATGTATTGTTGCTTGAGAATTATTCTATTCCAGTGATATCCTTGAGCAGCGTTTTGGATAATGAATGAATAATTTTCAGAAAAATCACAATTTGCTAGAATTTCGCCTTCTTTTAATGATTCTTTTTTATTTCTTAGAAAAGATGACTGTTGTTTGTAAATAAAGTCATGAGTTATAAGTTTGTTAATTTTATCAATGAGATACGGAACAAATTCATCAACAGGCTTGATAATCGTTTCCAAATTACAACGATCAGTATTCAGCCACTGTTGAAACACAACATCTTGTTTGTCATTTGATTCTAATAGCAAAGTAAGTTCCTCTTCAATATGTTCATTGGAAGCACACTTTTCGCAAGCACGGAAAAAGCAATCAGTTGTTCTATTAGAAATATTACAAAGCATTTTTTCTATTATTGCATCTTGTGACATAATTCTTAAACTGTTGATCATTAATTTTACATTTTCATGAATTGTACAACTACATACATTATGTATACCAGTAGAATCAAGAAAAATGCAATGTTTGGTCGCAATTGTGTAAATACAGTGGAACCAATATTAATATCTTTATATTTATCAACAAAAATCATGTACGCTTCTTTGAGGGACATCATTAACAGGCGTTTTTGAACGTGTTCTTTTCGTCCATTTCTAAACTCGGAAACAAAATCATTTGTTCCGGGCATAGGTCTACTTTTTTTTCCCTCTGTTCGGGACCTAGCACTACTGCGACCAGTAAATTGATCTATTATAGTATATCCCGTGTCCTTAGTTTAGTGCATGTCGTACTACTCCATCACTATTGAGAAATGATGAAGTATTCGATTTTTTTTACAGTTGCCACTCTTGCCTTTATCGCAAGGATCCGACTCTAATTGAAAGGTCCCGCTATTTATACCCTTCGGAGTGTTGAAACACCCTCCAAAGGCGCGCCCCTTTGTCAGTCAAAATTGGATTCCTTAGCAACAAAATTAAGGTATGACACCGATAATGACCATGCATCAGAACCCTAGTCTTAACCACTTCAAACTAGGGAACAACGAATATAAGATTAGGAATCACATAGATGAAGATAACTAACTCATTTTTTCCTTGTTTCAAGATCATCCTCGGTAGACAAAGCCGAGTCTTGTCACTATCAACAAGGCATAAAAAGTAACAAGGACTAAGATGCGTTCCTTGGATTACTGAAAATCCTGTTCCCTTAGTTTTAAGTAGTCAGGACTAGGAATCGGTGGTAGATCTTACATCCCGTAACGTACCACGAAAAGGTGATCTACCCACGTTACGGGGCATAGGTCTACTAATATCATTGTCATCAAAAAATTCCCTAACTAGTTTTTTTTTGTATCATCGTTGATCCCATGCCCACTTCTTTTGTTGGGTGTGCTTAGAATACCCTGCTCATTAACAAGGCTCTTCACCTGCCTCACCATGTACGTTGGTGCGTTAAATTCTGTTACAACTTTATTCACGGACCAAGACTTTGGCAATACTGATAATACTGTTATCTGATCTTTTCTGTCAGCTGTAGATAGCTGCACAATCATTTCTTCGCACTGCTTGTGTAATTTCTAGAGATTTTATTGAACGATAATCCATGCTCCGCATGTTCCTCGATGAAATTGGAGATAAATTCAACGTCAACCTTCAACGTCAAAGCCATTAAACTTCTCAACATTGTATGGGCGTTGCAGATCATCTGCTGATGGAACTGACTCCAATGATGGAACCGATGGTACCGTATCTGAAGGAAAGAAGAAGAAAAAATAATTAGCAGTTAAAAGTTGATAGAATCATCAGGATGACTGTTCTTACCTAGCTCATCTACGGATTGATGGCCACTCATTGATGGACCGGGATCATCACTATGCTGCTACCCACTAGTTGACGGTTGGATATTTACTTCATTTCCAACCGATCGGCGTTTTTTCATAACTGGACTTCTATTATGAGATATCACGCTACGGCATGACTCACAAATGCTCATCGTTTCATCAATTTCGTGGTTATATCCCATAGAATGTATTTTTTCTACCATCGTTGACGATATGGCCCGGAACTTATTTCGGTTGCATCTCGGATTATTTATATTTGCACAGCATTTCAATCCTTTGAGCCTTAATTTACTACTTTGGTCCATGATAATAATTTTACTACAACTTGTCTTCACAACTTTCGTTATCAGATTGACTGCTGCTTGTATGAAATCAACCTTAGTTTTATAGTAGGTAGAATGAAGTGGTAGGTTATTAGGTATGTTAATGGTTTAGGTATAAATAACAGAAGGGCATATAGAATTATGATGCGATACGTTGTCTTCCCAAATCGTTGTTGATTCGAAAGAAGATCTCAATTTAAATTTTATTCATACCTAATTCTTTATGGATAATTTGAGCTAAGAATTCTAAGATGCTATAGGAGTATCGGATTTTGCATCAGTAGTGTAGTGTATCTAGGGAAGTCCATAGTTGATGAATCAATAGTATACTGTGATTCATCGTATATTATAGTACATTTATAGCAGTCAGGTTAGCTAGCAATAGAAGACTTCCGTTCGGTCTCTTTTCCATCCGACCATCCTGCAGAGCGGACGCACAAATTGTAATTCTATAATTAATTAATAAAGTATTCTAGTTTAATTGATTCAACTGTGTAAAGTGATTCCTTCCTTCCTCGCAACATATTAAGTAGTAGACAATATAATCAATTATATTATTTTCTAATGATATAAGCCCTTTTCATATGGAATTCTCAATTAATCCAAGTGATTAGTTGTTGATTAGACAAAATTGAATCACAAATGAAGCTTCATTGGGTTCTGAGATGATTTTGAGCTTCACTGGTTTAGTTTTGTGTAAAAATGGTACGTTAAAAAAATCAGTTCAGACATGAAAAACATGAAAAAAAAATGTAAGAAATGCTTTTTATCCTTAAAAGTGCCCATCTCGCGATGTATGGACGGATGGTAGTAAACATAATTACCTATCTTGAGGCAAAGTTTCATCCAAATCAAACATGGCCATTTTTTTTTAAATCGACTTTAAATTTTAAAAATCGATTTTTTTCAGTGTAGGTCTCAAATGAAATTTTTTTCAGTATTTTTTTTCGATAACTTGGACAATTTCCTAAAAGTCATCCATACAACAAATTTTTCCATAATATTAAAAAAAAAAAAAAAAAAAAAAATTTGGCCCTTCTCAAATGTTAGTCTAGATAAATTTTGGAAAAACTGAGTATGCAAAAGTGCTTATTTAGTCAAAGTCTACACATCCAGAAAATTTTATTGAAATCTGAGAGGGTGCTGCCAGTTTCGATTCGATTTGGCGCGAAATGCGTCTATAGGATAACTTCAATTTATTGAAAAATATGCGTTTTATAAACAAGCACACTACGATAAATATTGGAAAGTATATTGTATTCTAAAGTAATGTAAATATAGGATTATAACTCGATAATCAACACACTAAGAACATAATTAATTAGGTACTGGCTTGCCTGCAGTAGCATGTGTAAACTTCGTTAATAAACCATAATAACAACTAGTTTCAGCTAGGGGGTTGCCAAAATAAACAGTGAATAAAATCACTTCCACGACCACGTTGCCCCAAAAAAAAACGAGATTTGTTTACATTGAATAACCCCTTTCCAGTAGCCAGCCGAAATGGTATTGATTGGCAAGTAGCAAACGCAAACGATTGTCTGCAGTGCATCAGTCCTAGCTGAATTTAGTCACGGGTCACGGTGTGGCGGTGTCCTAGCCTAACTAGCACGCCTACCTTCCTGCCTAGTATCATTGCTGGTACATCGATTTTGCTTATTTAAAAGCCAACCAACCACAAACGGGAAGAACCTATTCCAGGATATCATCAGGCGAACTGTTAAATTATGAACTGGCACTCGCATCGTACGTACGTAGACGTATAAGTGATTTCTCGTCGCAACTATTATAAACTGTACCGGAGCAGACTATGGATGGAAAGGGGCCGGCGCGCAAGGTGGCTCCCCAGCATTGACAGTGCGAGTTATTATCATCGAAGTTATTATTTTCGCGTTCGCGTTGTTATTTTCATGTCTCCAGGCTAGCGAATGGTAAAAGTGCAAACCGGAGGGCGGCGGTGGTGGTATACCTACGAACAGGACGAAGGATATGTCAAGGCAACTAGTCGCGCGCCAGCAGTTGAAGGATATGGACGGAAATCAACTGTGAAGAAGAATTTGTTGTGATCGATGCCGCCGCGTACTTGATGGATTGAAGTATTAGAAAAAGTAAGAGAGCCTTCGGAGCTGACTAAAAGCTATTAGGTGAAGAAATTGAGTGGGTGAATACCTTTTAGCAAATGGAACCGACATCAATGATGCTACATTATGGATTGTACGGATTGCAAGTCAAGTAGTTCAAAAAAACCTTCATCACACGTGGATTAACGATGATGCACATTTGCTGTTTTGGAAGCAGAAGTGATAAAGTATCACCAGGAGTATCGGCTGAGGTTTGTAAAATTTGGTTATACCTTTCTTTAAGTTGCAAAAAAAAAATGCTTTCCGTCCCTAGTGTCTTCTACTAGTAAAATAAGAAATCTCATTGTTTTCTAGTGCTTTGGTTCCAACATATGAGTGGTGACAAGTTCCCGGAAGACATTGAGTTAACAATAAGAATTGTGTCTTCTTACGTATTTAAATTTTTTTTCATTTGATCTATATAGTTCACGGTGTACATTTTCTTCTATGCGCGGACCGTGAACTATGGTTCATGGCTGCCGTTCATGAATATGACAACGGATTTTTTCCGAGTAAGACTAAATTCTGAAAGGATTGCATACTGATGAAATTTGAGTTAACGAGAATCGCTTTAAGTATTAAGCAAAAAAAAACAGACAACTCTGGACATCGAGTATGAAGGTGAAAGTGACCTACACACTTAGTTTTTTCTACCGAGCTCGGCTGTGCAAATCTCGGCAAAATAAGTTTCACTGAGATCTCAGCAAAAGTGACACTTGATTGCTGAGTCTCGGATAATGCTTAGCTGAATCTCAGCAAACAAATGAAATGTTTGCTGAGATCTCAGTGAAACTTTTTTTGCCGAGATTTGCACAGCCGAGCTCGGTAGAAAAAACTAAGTGTGTAGTGAGTAAATGACAATTTTTAAAATGGTTATCTCTGAGACATCATTTCAGATAGGAAAAAACTCTCGAAGTTTTGTGTGCAATAATAAAAGGAAGGCATCGACAAGAGCTTTTCGAATCTGAAGTAATGCTTCAAAGATAACCATTTTGGATATTTTCATTTACTCACTAGGTCACTTTCACCTTAATACTTGATGTCCAGAGATGTCTGTTTTTTGCTTAAATCTTAAGAGAGATTGTAGTGAACTCAAATTTCATCAGTATTCCATCATTTTAGAATTAAATCTTTGTGCTAGTCTTGCTGTTGAATATCAAATGAAAACAATATCACCTTAAGTATCAGAGAAGAGCATGTCAATAGACGAGTGCACGGATGGATTTGAGTTCAGTCACTCGACAAAAAGTGACACAACAGCGGGGCCCTGTTTACTAAAAATGAACACATGAATAATACTCACGTAACATTTGAAACGGGCCTATCAACTTTTGTACAAAAAACTTGTTAAGTCCTCTTCGCGCGAACCGAATACGCCCACGCAAACTAACAACACCATCGGATAGGGGAAATTTTCCCCTTCTCGATAGTACTTCGGTTATGGTGAAAAGGACCTAGCAAGTTGTTTACAAAAGTTGATAGGCCCTTTTCAAATGTTACGCGAGCATTATCCATGTGTTCATTTTTAGTAAACAGGGCCCCGCTGTTGTGTCAATTTTTTTTTAGTAGATGAACAAAAGTTCACCCGTGCACTCGTCTATTGTCACCTAAGCCTGACGATAGAAGCCAAGAAGATGTGTTCAGCATGGGAACCATAGGGCAAAAAGACGACCAAACCTATTTTTCCTATGAACCTCGGTTCGACCCTAATAAAAATTGTATGGTTAATTTGCTTAACGACGTGTTCTGGGTATCATCCAAACCAGTTGTGGAATAGTGCAATGATTTGGGTTATCGTTCGTTTATGGTTATTTTTTATTAGGGGAAGTCCTCGGAAGCCGAATGTGGAAAACATAAAGCTCAGAATGTTGACTCATTGTTGTGCATCATACTCATTGTCATTGTCATGCATTAAGGCCTACTCAGTATACACACAGATAAACAGACATAACACTCGCAAATTGTTCATCGAACAAGCATTTAACGGTCAATTTAAAAGTATAGTAGTTGGTAGTACCGCCACCTGTGGCGCGCATAGTCAATTCCCTTGCGTTTGACGTTTACACACTACCGCCACCTGTTCAGCGTATTACCCACCACAGTGTACTCAACAGATGGCGGTAATGTTTTAGTGACGATGTTTTACAGTGGGAAATATTGAATGTGTTATGTCTGTTTGTCTGTGGTATACACATTGTTTCAAAAATTAAAACTAAAAAAAAATTAAGTTAAAAAATATTCCAAATTCAATACTTATTTGCTTCCAAAATCTACCTGTCAATTATACTCAAACATTTGATTATGGCGACTCTGTAGGACATTTTAGAAGCTTGCCATCCAACATGTACATTTTGAAAGCTTCTTTATATTGAAAACTAAAAGTTCAACTGCATTTAAAAAAATAAAATTTCCATAATATCTGATGAAAAACCATTTCGTACAAGGATTTGATGATGATGATATGCGCGGGGGCCCCCAGAGGGGGGTTCTGCCTGCAAATTTTGTTACGGAGTTGGCTTACAATTCACATGTACTCAAATAGAAGCAATTAAAACAGATTCCAGTAAAAGACTAACAATACAGGAACTTGTTCAAACTTAATAATATCATGAAGATCCAAAAACAAATGGATGGATGGATAGGCAATTCCCTTTTCATTTCCTTGGGACAGTTAAGAATCTCTTTCCAACAACTTGATCAGTCAATTGGTCAGAAAACGAGTGATTCAACAGGAAGATGCCCCAATGAATGGGAAGAAGAGCGCGACTTTTATCCACGAAATGTTAGCAACAGGGAGTTGACATCTTCACTCTCCCCATCCAAATCGCTTCAATTAGGTGCCCTGATGGTCCCTCGTCATCCCGAATTTTTGATATATAGTTATGTCTACAAAAATATGCGAGTCGATTGAAATCTGCCGAAAATAAATAACATAGAAGCGTAAATGCATAGGCGAAGGATAAGACAAAGGAGAGTCAAAGGTGTTGTCACGCATGTTTAAATATCGTTGATCCAGTTACCTATCATATAAATTTGCATTTCATCTAGTTATGATTATTGTCAATAATACTTACGTTTCGATGAAGATGGTGCTACCTATTTTACCTTTTATGTGATACCAAACATCACAGAAGCCAACTTTGAAGCGTAGACCAGGTCCATTAACAATACACTCCTTCCGAGAAGGGACTCTATAATCTTTTTCAGGTTCGCTTTGATATGGTTAGTAATATCAAATAGTGTTACATGCAAACGAAAAAGAGATACAACCAGGATTGGTTTTTATTAAAGTAATAGTTTCATCTGAATACCCAACAAGCCATATCGTATCTCACTCTGAACCTATATTTAGAGTTATTTTGTGATTATATTATTACTTGGATACTCACATAAAATGTTGTGCAAGTACCACAAGTTCAACAACGCCCAACTATGGACAGCTCAATGCTTATCCCATTTATTCTTTGAATCAGCGAACACCAACATGATGCTAAGAAAACCATAATATATAGAGATAAAGCTCAAAAAGTTACAGTTTTAGCTGATAGTACTTTATAAACATCACGGTAACCCATACTGGACCCTGCCAACCCACGGCGCCTGCACGGTAATGTGGGCCATCAGTTTAATAAGAATTTCCCATAGAAAGTCATATGAGGGGTTTATCAATTTCATCCAATATCTTTATTTTCCAATTCGAGATTTTAGCCGGCGCTGGTGGTGTAGTTTTAAGCGTGACTGCTTTATCACCCCAATGAGTCAGGGTTCAATCCCAGCCGAGGTCGGTGGTATTTTTCTGAGGCATAAAAATCTCTGGTCACGTCTTCCTTCGGAAGGGAAGTAAAACCTACAATCAATACGAAACTAACGATTTTAAATTGGCTCACCACTTTAGTAGCCTATTGGTCCCAAGCAAACGATTAACGTACCCTATTCTAGTCCAAATTCTAGTACTACGCAATGTTTGTTTTGATTCGCTATGAAAGTTTGACAGATAACATGAGGGGTTATTGGTTTTTCCTATGTTTCGAGGGGTGAATCGATTAGCTTGGGACCGAAGAGAGTACCAGAGCTGAGCCAAAAAGTTGAGCACGTTATTTCGGGACCTTCTTGTCTTAGAGTTACCTCTATGGTAAAACCGTTGGTGTTGAATGGGTGCAGATTTCAAAAATGTCCAAAAACTAAACAAAACACTCAATGCAATAAGTTATCATGCTGAACGATCATCATCGTCATAGTCTATTGATTTTAATACTATAAGTTCGTCAATTTTCTTGAATGTAAGAACTGATGTCAATATTTACGTTTTATGTGATCATATTGCCCCCGAATTATGATATTCAATTTAGAGTTCGTTTATTCTCTTTGATTCATGTTGCATTGAACATGTAACAATACAAATCAGTAAGAGAAATTGGACACATACATGAAGCATTGGTGCATTTAACCTCAATGTAGACGTCAATACTTCAAAATCAATCTCCGAACATTACTTTTGATGTTCAGCAGACAAAAATAACTCATCCATACATCAGTTAACGATGTCCACAATGACCTTAATTTGTAATTTATCAAAGCTAATTTGCTGAAAAATCATTTACCTCAACTCAACAATTGCTTTGTTGGTTGCTCAGATATGTATATTGGCTGACCAAAGTATAAAATTTTAATTAGAAGTTCAGAACTAAACTTTATGATTTTTTTTATTTGAGCAAGTTGCACACAATTGTAGGTGGTACAAGCATAGAGGTAACTCTAAGACTAGAAGGTCCCGAAATAACGTGCTCAACTTTTTGGCTCAGCTCTGGTACTCTCTTCGGTCCCAAGCTAATCGATTCACCCCTCGAAACATAGGAAAATCCACTAACCCCTCATTTTATCTGTCAAACTTTCATAGCGAATCAAAACAAACATAGTGAAGTACTAGAATTTTGACTACAATGGGGTACGTTAATCGATTTGCATGGGACCAATAGGCTAGTCAAGTAGTGAGCCAATTTAAAATCGTTAGTTTCGTATTGATTGTTGGTACAAGTCCTAGACCATTGTTTGAGAGTATAGTCAACAATCAATACGAAACTAACGATTTTAAATTGGCTCACCACTTTAGTAGCCTATTGGTCCCAAGCAAACGATTAACGTACCCTATTCTAGTTGAAATTCTATTACTACACTATGTTTGTTTTGATTCGCTATGAAAGTTTGACAGATA